TAATTTGTGAAGTTAACATAAATTTGACACGTGAAAAGATTAAAAAAATAATAACATATCAGTATTATGTTAATTTTACATTGAAGTAATAATCAAAACGTCGTAACACAAGAAAAGTTCTACATTTTGACGCACAATTTTTTACTGTGTATACTAACTGCAATTTCTTCGACGTGGCGTTATATAAATAAAAAAAAACCGATTTGTTTTATGATCTTCGAAGTTTTGACCTTTAGATTTAAAAAACAAAATCCACTCGTACGCTCGATCTTCCATCAACAATTCGCGAACACGTCGTTCAAGGATGAAACGCGCAGGATTGATACGAGCAATTCACACGAGGCATACACGAATAGTAAGAGGCACACGCGTCGTGCAGTGCGCGTCATGCAAAACTTTATTTTTAGCCAACAATTTGATTCCCCAAACGCGTCCGCCGAGTATCGATACGCGCTCATTTCGGAGCATTATCGAAGCGCGATTCTTCTCCGCCTAACAAACCGTGTTGTCCAGAAGCGAGATTCGTTGGCGATGCATCGCGCGTAGCAATCGACCTTAATAAAAAAACCGACGATATTGTCTTCCTCGTACGAGAGGCGCTTGATTCTTTTTTATTCACGATAATCGGTTGTTCTAGCCGCGATCATCTCTCTCGTTTTTTTCTTTTTTCTTTTTTTTTTTTTTTACTCAAATTTGTCAATTTTCGACACCACTCTACACGGATAAAGTTGCGCGATGTTACTGCAATCGGAAGAAAAGGTTTTTTCTCACAACAAAATACAATAAGAAAACTAAAAACAAAAAGATAAATTTGTTCGTTTAACAATAAATACTTATACTCGATTTATCTCGCGATCAAGATCCTTCGAGAGTCGTACGAGGTCACCGTCTTGCAATGACATAACTGAATTACGCGAAGACGAACATACGAATTTGCTGCAACAGCCGCAAATTAGTTGCGTGACTGTCTGCACGACTATCTTTGCATATAATTAAAATGTCACGCGTTACAAGCAACGCATTTTATTTGCCGCGCAACGTTCGCACAAGTTTAGAGATATCCCGGAATCACATGCCGGAACATGCTTTGTGAGAGATAATAATTTATAAACTGTCAAATGCGGTAAAATGAGTGAAAGCAAAAATAAGCGAGCGACGCAGAGAGAAGCGAACGCGCAACTTCAAACTTCTAGTTTGTTTGAAATCGTCGCGACGATTTGAAAACGATTTGAGAAGTTTTGTGAAACAACAATTGAACGAAACGCGGATACGCGGGCCGGTAACAGGTCGCGCGAAACCGACTTATTATCGCGCGGCTTTCTTGCCCGGATCAGGTTTCTCTTAACTGGAATAGAACAGTCGCGCAAGAAATGCCAGACTGAAACGATGAAAAGTAAAAGACCGCAGTCGCTGCACTTGCCAGTCGTTGCAGCCGCGTGACGTTCCGAAACCGACCGCTCCACATCGAAGCGATAAGCCGCACGCGTGTGTCACGATGCGGAAAATATATACATATATATGTATTATATATTATCTGCATTGTTGTGCATTCTTCGAGCGCACGTCTCACAATTTTTTTGTAAAATATTGCCTGATTTCCGCAACTAAATATTTGATCCTTTCAATGTCTCTTTTTTTTTTATTGTACCTGAAAAAAATTGAAAATTTAAAAGTTTTTTTTTCTACGACAATCGGACGAGTGATATGTACAATAGAGTAGCGAATTGGCGCGCGTATCTACGAGCAAATTCGTTTGTTGCTCGGTTGTAAAAATGCAAATACGTGCGCGTTCAAAGCGCACATACGCGCGCTGGGGAAGAAATTATTGCCATTTTATTTTAACATTATTTACAACAAGCAAGTACACATGTACGCAAGGAAATAAAACAATGTGCGAATTATGTTCAAGGATAAGACGAATATGCCCCGACATATGTTCCGCGTACGCGCGGAGCGAATCGTCGAAAACTTATTAGCATTCTCTGCGTCGTCCTTGCGCGTTTTTTCGAGGCGCGTGCGAGTTACCGGTCGTAAAATCCTGTATGAATATACATACACGCGATACATAAAAATATTTTCTCAAAATGACACGTCGAATAAGAGAGAGAGAGAGAGAGACGCTCTGTGTATACAATCATCACCTCTCCGGAAATGAAATTTGCGGAGAAGTGAGAAAGAGAGATTTTAATTTAACTTCGTAAGAAATTAAATCAAACAGAGTTTCGTTTGTGATAAAACTCGATGGAGAGTTTGCGATGGAGTTTAAATGCGTGTCAAGCAAATGCTAATATTCTTGTTAGCCTTGCGTCTGTTTCGAGTCTTGACAAAAAACAAAAGGGGAAACTCACATGTGATCATAAAAAACTTGAGAAACGAGAATCCAGCTCCATTTGATTGCTTTTTTTTTTATTGGGTCATTAAGTATGAGCTTAGACGTCAAGTATAATATATATCGAAGAGTCAATTTTTTACTACTTTTATCTTATTTAACAAATTGCAACATCTTGTTTCTCTATCTTTTTACAAAAACAAAGATTTTTATATTCGGAAATCGTAAAATATTGAATTTGCTGTTTTTACAACTATTGTTAACTATTGTTAATTAATTGACAACGCCTTGTGTCTTTTTTTTTGTTTGTTTTTTTTTTGTTAAACGTCAGCGTCTTCTCTCTCGTAACGAGCGACGCTCTCGCGCAGCTGCCGTAACATCTTGTACCAATAGAAGGTCATGGTCGGACTCAATCAACACACACGCGTCTCTGGACGGTGTTCCGAACACACAGTCAAGCACACCGCGGTTTATTATCTCATGAGATATTAAATAACTTTTTACGTTAGAATTGCTTGCGCGGTTTGCGCGAAGAAATCAAAACAGAGAGGAAACAAAGAAAAGACAGAAACACGTAACAATCTAGGTAATTGTTACGTAACCCGGAGGAAATGCAGAAAATGCACGAAGCGTTGCGCAATAATTGGTTTTATCATTCCAGTATTTTTTTTTTTCTTACATGTTTTATGCAAATGTGTCACGAGAGAGATCCGCATCCGCAAGTTTCAGCAGAGCACAAATCAAGAGTCGACTAACAACCGATGAAAATTTTAATTGACCGAGAGAGAAACGTGCTTGCTTTTACGATGACGATCCTTGAAGGGAATTGTTTGTGATTCTCGTTAAACTAGCGGCACAATAATAAATGGAAAAAGTCGGTCGTCCGTGTTTGTGCATCGCTCTGAGATTCGCTCTCGCGTTTGGAAAAAAAAAACGCGCGCGCGCGCAAAGATGGAAAAAAATGGCCGAGGTAAAACACGGGTCAAGGAACTATCAAAAGCGAGGCGAAAGTAAACGAAGCGCGCGGTAAGAAACAGACCGAAGCTACAACGACGACGAGGCGACACAGACGATCGTAAATGTTGACTCGAAAAGTTATTATTTCGTTTTCCGACTATAAATTTTCGCGTCTATATTTTATTAGCAACAGTTCTCGCGCGCGATAGTTAGTTTTCTCCATCTAATAATCATTCACACAACACGCGCAGTATATCTGTTTCTAGTTTAGCTTATCTCCAACACAGATCGACAGATAATAAATACGCTATCTCTGATCGGAGATTTTTATCGCGCGAACAAGCAGTTCATAGAACCTTTCGCGTCGTTATTTGCACTTAAAATATAAGAGTTTGTTTTTGATGCAAGTTTTATCGCGCGAAGTACGCGCGCGTTTAAAAGCGCGAACAAATTTCCTTCTCGCTATCTAAGTACATATTTCAGTCCAGGGCTTCCTCACCTTTGAATGAAGTCAATTGATCTCAAAATTATAAATATTTGGCGTTCTTGTTCAAAAGAAAAAACCAAAAAAATATATACATATTTCGTACATATCAATTCAATTAGCGCAACATATAGTACGTTTGTCTTCGAGCGCGGCTCGAATCTGTAAAGGAATTTCAGCTAGAGCTCTCTGTTGACGCGCAAAATAATTGATTCGTCTCCCGTCCGTTCGCGTTTATTACGGCGAATTGATTTGATCGGATTCACGAGCGATGGTAACCAATTCATTCGAAGCAAAATGCAAACACTTGACAAAGCCCGAACGCGTTTTGTCGATAAAATAATATTAAATTAATGTTAATTTCATCGACGTACGTATTGCGATGTCACTGAAATGTGAAATGTTCTACTGTTGGAATAATGATCTCGTAACACGCGACGTCAATCTTCCCATGAATAAAAATCACACGCGAAAGAAGGTTGTAACCTTATGTTAATCGAAACCACACACACACACACACACACAAAGTCTTGATCTTTCGAGCGACCATCGTTTTTGCTAAAACTCGTTTTACATCCCGTTGCGACGTTGTTTTTTTAGTCCAAAACAAGATTTTTGAATAAGTTTCTCTAAAAGAGACATTCACCACTGATTAAATTAAAATCAATCCGATTTCGCAATCAAAAGTCTTGATATTTACGTGTATATATTTTTCTAAGGTAAAAAGATACACACTCTCTTTCGGTCGTGAAATGATAATTCAATTACAACCCGTCGTCTTTGTATCCTTGAAAAAGATTCCACGGCGACCCAAGAATCTCTTACCGTGAAAAGTTGAAACAATGGCTTGACGTTAATCAAAATGTAAACACAATCTGATCGATTTTCCCGTTTGCGAAGAATATTCAACGAAAAATTGTTCCCGCGCTTCTTACCCGAATTGTCCTACGAAATACATGCGAGCATCGAGTTCTTCGCCTGCCCGTGGCGGCCAGCGAAGCGGTGGCGGAACATTCTACATATTCTCTTTATCGTTTTTCTTAGACAAAAAACAAAGCATTTCCTCTTACTGTAAGGCGACCGTTCGGTCTCCCAGATGAGCGTGCCGCGGTGGAAATACACGCGACATCTCTTCTTCTTCACAACGAAGGTGTTGAGCAGCACCGAATTCGAGGAGGCGCGCTGATAATCAGCGGCGGCGCCCGGGATTTCCTGCATCATCGTGGGGTCGCTTCATCGACGGACGACGTTAGCAAGGATACCGAGGATGCCGCAGGAACGTCGTCATCCCGATCGATCTGTTGCGCCGCGACGACGCAGCGATCACGATGGTTTGCGTGCGATTCTCTCTCTCTCTCTCTCTCTCTTTCTCTCTTTTCCTCGCGATCGATCACATATGTCAGCACGACACTCCTCGCCCGGTTCCGGCCCGGTCGAACGCACGAGCGAGACTGACTGACTGGTACTACTCTTTCCGAGACGCAAAACGAAAGTGCGGACCTCGCGAACTCGACGAGTCCGGGTGCGCGTGCACTCGATACCCGCACACTTGTCATATCCGTCAAAATGTACGTACATCGAGAAATGAAAGAAGTTTGCTAGCTCGTTCACCGCGCTGATTGTCAAAGAATCCCTGGTTTGAATGCCGAGATAAAAAAGCTGCATATCGCGACGATTATTCCTGCGCGATTAGATTCTGCAATAATAGAATTTAATTAGCACTGCGGTAAGATACAAATGATCTGTAGATAACAATAGTAGAGTAATAACAAAGTAAACACGGCGGTGTTGTAAAACCGTGTCGATGTAAACTTACCTCAGATGTTATACGCGAATATTATTGGAAATAATTCAAGTTTATTAATAGAGAGTTGTTTCATTCATGTGTCCGCTTTAACACAGATACGCTCATTTCCCTGCAATATCGACTGGTTAATCGTCGATAAAGTAGATTTTGTTATTATCGACAATCAAGTAGCGTTCTCCTGTGATAATGTACACATGTATTTTTGTACAAAAATCAATTAGCTGTTACACACTGACGTATGTACACACACTTGATCGTTTGTAAATTTTCTTGTACTCTCTCTTTTTCTTGTATCCCAAGTAATTTATACAGTACAGTACTCACTGTCAAATGTTGTAAAGTAAAAAAAAATCTGACTGACAAACAACGTGTTCTTTTATCTGTCCTCAAGATAAGCAAATTTTACAATGCAAACAAGATTCGTCTCGTACCTCTCACCCGAGTCACAGGGTCTGCACCTACTTGACAATAATTCCACGGTTCTCGTCGGCGTGTCTTCCTCCGTTTGAACCCCGTTCATCATTTCCATAATCTGAACACGATTCGAATATATTTGATCCGCAAACATGATATATTTCTATTCAACGAGATGATCAACTCGGGATTAAAACTCTTCTCCTGGTACAGATATTTTTCAAATTTTTTTCTCTGTGTTTTTCTTTATCTTTCTTGTAATTAACTTAAGCTATAAACTTGAAAGAAAAAAATTATTCTGGTCAACCAACCTCGTGCATAAAGATGAAGATGATCGAGAGCACTTGTCGAACGAAAAGATCAAACCGTACGCAGGAACTTGCAGCGAGCAGACTATTGTCGTGATTTACGCGGGAAACATTGTGAGAGGCAAGTTTTGCGATCAGCCCGGGCAGCATTCCAAGCGGCCGTCGCGACCACGCGTATTTCGTAGACCTCTCAACGCAGCTGCTTACCTTCCCAAATTTTCGTGATAACTCTCATCTCGAGATTTATTTACAGGTGCTGCGGTGAAACTTTGTCAACTTGGCTTGTGGGGTTAGCGCGAGTCCACAGATGCACGAGAGATGAGACACTACCGTGTCTTTTGAATAAATATGAATTACTCAAGCGCAATTTTTATTATAAGGTTTCAAAATACCAGGTAATTAAAAACATGTGTGCATAGAATATCATTAATATAATATTGAGCTAACTAATTTTTTTAATTTAGTTCACTGCGTTTTTACGCAACAAAAATGTGATATTTTATGTATGCACAGAGAAAGAAAAAACAGAGAGAGAGAGAGAGAGACGGAGAATTTAAAGTAGAAGCTACACGTTGAGAGCCACTGGTGGCACATCAGCGCGCCGATTGGGTCATCGAGACGTTCAGGTCAAATGACAAGGCAAATACAATGGAAAACGACGAATGGGTGACACGGATTGTTTCCTGACGGAGAACTCGGCCGTGTCCCACGTCCGTCAGGGCAGGTTCTTCGCTCGATATTATATGCGGCATGGCATGGTGATGTGTACGCGATACAAATAGAGACGCACACACGGCGCCGCGCGCACACATACGCAAGTTGCGCAATTACGCGTGTTCACTTCTAGCCGGCTGCCACGCAAAGCGACACATGGTGGCTCGTGCCGCCTTATAGATGATCAATGTATTTTAAATATGAATTATATTCTTCGCGCGTGTTCTCAACATCGCGACGAGTTTGTCGCTCCTGCAAGCAAAGATTGTACGCGCGTCAATTTGCGAATAAGTGCATACTATAAACAGCTATAAAATCACGGCGATTAAAAACCACAATCCGGAGATTATTGCTCTATTGTTTCGCTCGATGAACAAATTGTAACCTAGCCGTTTCATCATACACAACACGAATTTGCATATCGACGCTGGATCCTCTCAAAGAAGCGAAACTTTATATCTCGTTTTTTTTGTCTTTTCCTTTATATTCAGTCATCAAAATTAGGGTTAGTTCAATGTATCGCCAAATACGGTATTCGGATTTCTCCTACTTTCAATATAAGAGGCCGTTTCTCTCCTTCATAAACCTCAATTTCTCCCACTTCGTCGCTCGTTGTCACACACGCGTGACAAACCAATGCTTGTGTGATTTCGAGCAAGACGGTCGCGTGAATGAAAATTCTCCGTAAACGCGACTCTGAATTTTCGTCTCTCTCCGCTCTGCTCTTTAGAGATCATTCGACCGCGCCCGACTCAATATTTTTATTAACAAACAGATTTGCGATACAGTTGCCGTTAAAACAATATTCGACCTTACCTTCAGGACTTACATCGAGACAATTTCCTTTCGCGAGCATATCGTTCCCGGGAAAATATTCGGCTGACTCGTTCAGTCCAGACACGTCGAGTCGAGCGTACAGTCTTGCGACAAAGAAAACGAACGTACTTTTAGGACGAGTGTCACGTGACACGGCGTTTTCGGTGAAACGCCGGACCAATGAGTCGCGACATTTAACATTTTCGGCGGAAATGTTCGGGTGAACAAGAGAACGCGATTGGTCCGGCGAAAAATATATATCACAAGACTGTGTTCTCGAAGAGTGGGTGGTCGACGGACGACGCGCTACGCTCATGCAACGCGAAATTTCAAACCGCGCAGACGCGAATTTGAAGTGGACCAATCGCAAGACCGAATTGACACCGTGGCATGGTCTCGTGGGGATACAAGCTTTGTGCCTGTAGCTCGTATAGCACGGGCATCGCTGCCACGCCAACCATTTTGTCTGCGCAGTTGGTCCCGGTTAGTCGACGCCGGTGCGGTGCGATATAATTCTTATTTGTTGCGAGTTCCGTACGGCGTAGAGAAGCCAGTGACTGTCCTTCGGTGGAATCCGTGGTTCGCTTCGAGTTCTATATCAGACCTAGGTGCGTGAGAACCACCCCGGCGCGGCATCGTGGTATCCACGGTAGGAGCGATCTCGCGATTTCATACCATCCTAATTGGAATAAAATCAAAATCCGCAGGAATCGGACAAACTTGCGGAGGGACGCCAAGAGCCGCTGTCGCGCGTTAATCTAGCCGCTAACGAGGAGTTATCTGGACAAGATGGCGGATGTACGGGGCCCCCCGCCGACAAGGGAGGAACTGCTCGAGCTTGATGCCAATCCGAATAACATAGCATTGCGCAGGCCATTCGATCCAGTGGCGCATGATCTCGATTCCTCTTTCCGACTGACGCGATTCGCCGACCTGAAAGGATGAGGGTGTAAAGTCCCTCAGGAGGTTCTTGGGAAACTCCTCGAGGGACTTCAGGACGACGACGCGTCTGCTCAGGATGAGCATGCCCACTTTATGCACATGGCAATGCCGCGCATTGGTGAGTATCGGTCGGAGCCCTCTGATGCGACGCACTTGGGACTCGACACCGTCCCGACGATTTAATCGTCTCCCGGAATTTTCCCTTCCTTTCTTTTCTTTTCTCTCGTTTTTTTTTTTTTTTTTTTTTTTTTTGTTTCTGTTTTTTTGAGTCTGTATTTTTGCATGTTTGTTATTTGCGGGCGTCGTCAACGCGAGATCAAAACACCAAAAGATTTAATTTTATTTCTAAACACATGCCTACAGATGATGCATGTACATTCATTCAAATCTGATTTTAGAAGATGTAGAATACAGATGAGAAAGTAGGTGTAAGGGGCAATTGATTTCTTTTTTGTCTCGCTATTTACGCGTGGCCCGAGAATGCCGTAAGGCAGCCCTGCTTTTGATATGGCGGCTGTATTATCTCCCGCCCAATTTCTCATTGTACCGGAAGTTCAGGTGTTCTCAACTTCGACGTGTCATCTAGAATAATGAATAATGTTTTAACCATTACACGTATATAGTTTCTTTAAATTATTGAATACATTAGAATGCTTGTTTCTCAATTATTTTTTTGAAAACTTACTATATATTTTTACTATATAATATAAAATACATTTTAGAGCACATAATTGTTTTGATTCTACTTTCTCTCTGTATATTATATAATTTACACACACTTTAATTATAAAACTTGTTTCTAACATATTTAATAATATATTTGCTGACTTTTTTTTTTTTTTTTTTTTTTTTATCCTTTGTTTTTAATTTGATCTGGATACTATATCAAGATGGAAAACAAGATTTTATATTTTGTGTTATTGCTATGTTACCTATTTATATAAACTTTTAGTATAAAGGAAATTTCACTTAAATTTCCCCTGATAATATTTTAGCTTAGATTAATCTTTTTGACTAATTAAAACAAAACCATGAGAAATTGCATGCATTTAAAAATCTGTTAGTGTTGCAAATTTCGAAGAAAGAAAAGAGAATTTTTATCGTCCGCGTCGCACTCTCACGCACACTCACTAGGGAAAGCGCACAAGGGGTAAAAGGCACACAAGTTCAGCAGAGTTTTAAAAATAAAGAACTATATTGTCACATAAAATATCAAAAAAATGTATAGTCACAAAGAAAAATAATAAACAAACGCGTATGTTCCCTCTGATTGCATCGAGAGAGATCACAGAAAAAGGAACGGCTTAGTATTTTCACCGCGGCGCGATCTGCTACTTTACGAAAAACGAGAAACAAAGGAGAGCTGGCTCGAGATGGCTTTCCCTTTTATATCCGCGCCTACTTGCCGGTGTCGAGAGGAGAGACATTGTCGCCTTATCATTGGTCGCGCCGTTCGATTGGCGCGTTTTGATTGCGATTACGGTTGATTTTGACGCTCGCTTCTTGCTGTTATCTATCGCTAAGCAAAGAAAATACGCGTTAAGGTGAAACTTGTTTGCGCCTTTTGTCCGCTAACTCTCGCTTTGCCAATGTTGCTATCGCAGATCGAATTTTTGAGAAATAACTAATGGCATCGAATAGACTGCGATGTGAGCGGTTTTCTAACATTTAGTTATATTTATGTTAAATGTTTTTGATTTAATAATTAATATTTAAATGTTAATTTTTCAGGTATTGGCATGGATTCTTCTGTAACTCCATTGAGGAGAAATGGAGGTTTAAGCTTGGTACAGACCACTGATTTTTTTTATCCACTAGTTGATGATCCGTACATGATGGGTAAGATAAAAACAAATTTAAACAATCCCTACTTGGGATAAGAACGATTTAGGGTGTGTTTGCTTCGAGCATTTGTATATTCTAGGTGTCAGTCTGTCTGTCTTATCATATATTTAATGAGTAACAGACTTGCATTTAAGCCCTAAGCAAATGTGCACCCTAATAATAAAGGCCATGCTAAGTACAAAATAAAACAAGTTAACGTTTCTGTCTTTAAAGCGTAATACTCTCTTATTACATTTATTGAGATATTTTTCAGGTAAAATTGCTTGTGCCAATGTCCTTAGCGACCTGTATGCGATGGGTGTCACGGATTGTGACAACATGTTGATGCTACTTGCGGTTAGCACAAAGATGACTGAAAAAGAACGTGATGTGGTAGTGCCGTTGATTATGAGGGGATTTAAAGATTCTGCACTTGAAGCTGGCACAACAGTAACAGGTGGCCAGACAGTCGTGAATCCATGGTGCACCATAGGCGGTGTCGCATCCACTGTCTGTAATCCTAATGAGTATATTGTGTGTGTATCACAAAGTATGATCAAACAAAATCTAGAAACCAGAAAAAATGACTAAGAATCAGATACAGATTCAATAAGAAACTTTGTAAAACAGTTTAAGAAATTTGATAAAGTTTAAACTATTTAATTATTCATTAAGTAAAAAAAAAAGAATATAAGAGATATTTTACGATTATAATTTTCTTTAATAGAGAATGTCGCGTGCGCTATTAGGCTGAATAAGGCTGACTGTGTAGGTTATCGATGACTCGCACGTGACTCAATTAAAATACAAGATATGATTTAGTCAAACAATATGAGAAAAAAAGATCAATATTTTGTCTTACATGAGATAAAGTTTCCTGTATACAGGATTATCAATTTCCGGTTTTGTATTTCATATTTAGACCAGATAACGCCGTCGTTGGGGATGTGTTGGTTCTCACAAAACCTCTCGGTACGCAAGTTGCCGTAAACGCGCATCAATGGCTCGATCAACCCGACCGTTGGAGCCGAATTAAACTAGTGGTAGGCGAAGACGATGTGCGAAAAGGTTACCTGCGTGCAATGGACAGCATGGCCAGGCTGAATAGAACAGGTACGCGCGCTGTGTTGCATAACAAAAATATTGTGATTCTCTCTATTGTGAGTCTTCATCAAACGTGAAACGTGCAAGGAATATGTTTATTTACCGCTAAAAACTAATTAATGAAATTTTTCATTGATCAGTATACATTAAATTTTAACTGTATACATTTATTAATTATGTCGATTTCCCAGCTGCCAGATTAATGCACAAATATAATGCGCACGGAGCTACGGATGTCACGGGTTTTGGCCTTCTGGGACACGCTCAGAATCTCGCGAAGCATCAAAAGAACGAAGTGTCCTTTGTTATTCACAACTTACCTGTTATAACGAAAATGGCGGCAGTTGCAAAAGCATGTGGAAATATGTTCCAACTTCTCCAAGGACATTCGGCCGAAACTAGCGGTGGTTTGCTTATTTGCCTTCCTCGAGAACAGGTAAACTCGCTCAAAAAAACAAAACATCTCTTTTTTTCCTGTTGATACAGAAGAGTATTTCTTTTTTGTGAGATACTCTTAAGAACGACAGGTAGAGCAATGGAAGTTGATCGTCTCTTTTTGTTTGTTGTAAGCGTAGCTTGCATAGCTCAATTGAACTGCGTATCAACTTTCTACATTTCCATTACACGTTAATTCTAAACTAGTTATTTACGTTCAAAATTCAATTAAATTTTGTATATTGTTTTAAATAATTTGTACGCAATCTTGAACGCTGTGAATATTTTTCAACAGGCTGCAGCGTATTGTAAAGATATCGAGAAGCAGGAGGGATATCAGGCATGGATTATCGGTATCGTTGAGAAGGGTCTTCGCACCGCTAGGATAATCGACAAACCGCGAGTAATCGAAGTTCCGGCTAAAGAGAAAGACGGCGAGCTCTGGTAAAAAAACAACAAGAAAGACAAATAAAACAAGAGACATCGCTGTCGCAATTATAACATACGTTTATATAACTTGAAAAAAATAGCACTCATACACTGCTTGACGAGCACTTCTACGTGCACCAACTACGAAAAAAAAGTTCTTTAGTATCTGTATTCTCCCTAACAAAACCGTATTTTAAGTAATCGCATTTTTAAGTTCACGCTCTATGTAGATTATCTGTTTTGATAATCAAATCGATTCGTTTGATAAGATCTTGTGACGCACGAGGCTTTCTTTTAATATACATATTATATATATATACGTATGTATAAATCAGCTCGTGCGAAAAGAAGCATCGTGTGCCGCAGGCGGTAGCTTTAAAAGAACATCATTTTTCAAATCAAGTGTCAATAATTGTTAAATAATTGACACTTTCAAGCAAATATTATAATTTATAAGAACAAAAATAATTTTTCTTCAGTTGTAGTGTAAATGTTGTACGTAGAGCTACTAGCAGACTTTTAGATTAAAAAAAAAAAAAAAAAAAACTTTATTCAAAATGTAAGAAGCCGAAAACTGAAGATATACAAATTTTGTAATTTCAAAAATAAAATAAGGTAGCACTAAATTTTCGATTAAACAAACTCCCAAAAAACCACAAACCACATCCGAAAGAATATTTATGAAAAACTCTGATACATGTATTATATACACATTACGCAGAACGCGGTTCTCGGTGCTTAATATTGGCACATTTTAGAGATATCTATGAAACAATTGCTGGAGTGATTACAGAGATCTACATATATATTTTGCAAGTTACGACTACACTACTGAAAAATTGAATAAATTCGAATATGTAGTGTTATTTCACGCGTAGCTAAGTAATGATTTTTGTAATTTCGCGAAGAGAAAGATAATTGTTATATAAGAATATTATGTGAGAGACATAAACTCAAACTTCTTGAAGTAGATTACTGTACACACGTAAATACACCAAGTCCAAAAGACAAAAGGCCTTGTACTGTCTTTTACACTACATACGCTTCGGAAGAGCCGGGGAAAGACAATTTTAAGTATAAGTAGGCCCTAACGTTGTATTACTTTTTCATATGAATAAAGTGCTACTTTGTCGAAGTTGCTTCGTTAATCTTCAGCCTCTCGTTAAAAACTTCAACTGTTATATGTGTGTGATTTATACTGCAATTTCTCATTTTTGAGAAGAAACAAATCCTTCCAAGTTTTTATACCTAGTTTTTTCAGAATTTTTTGTACATTTGACACGTAAAAAACTTGCATAATTGTGCAATACTTCGCAAGAAATTCTAGAGATTTTTATGTCAACGAAAGAATTATTGATAAAATTGAACTATCTATTATGAGGAAATACGTGCAGTTAATCAGGTAATCATAGAAACGATCACTTTGTGCATCTACCGCACGAGGTCTCCAGGATCAATTCCGAGTGTGAGTGTGAGTGTGTGTGACTGATAAACAGATTTGTGTGTATGTACGTGTGACGTCTTTAAAGACAACGTATCACCATTTTATCATCTTGCGACATGAAGGCTTATCGAATTATCTCCCCCGTTCCTTTGTCGCGCTGACTAATCGATCCGGTACGAACACAAATTATCACATCGCAATTTTGTCCTGGTTGCAAAACTTACCTTAACCTTGCGCGTGTCGTACAATTGTTTACATTTTTATACACAGTATTTACTCCTTTTATCTTGCGTCCCATACGAATAAGTGAAAGAACATCAAAGAGACTGTCCGCAAAGAAATCGAAGAACAATCTCGTTATTTTGTAAAACGGTGCGATCTCCTTAATGAAATGATTTGTCTTCAGGAAAAGTCGATCTCAAATTTGCGGGAAGGTTTACGTGATTTGTTATCTTAGAAAACTCAGGTAAAAAAACTTCGAAGTTTGTACGCTAATTGTGTTTGTACTTGCTTGATTTTGAAATGAATCACCAAATTTTCACCGGAATAACACGTATTGTTTTTACACACACGAATGTTGTCAATAAATTTTATATAAAGTAACAAGAAAGTTGTTGATGTGTCATTTATTATTTTGCTACTGAAATAAAATGCAATCCATTTTTACTCTCTTTTCTATTACTTAATTGGAATGAGTTAATTTAGAATGAGATAACATACCTTTTTCTTAGTATGTTTGTAAACAATTTTTGAACTGCATGTTTTTTTTTCTCAGGCGACGCGGTATATGGTGTCCTGTAAAGATGTAAATCAGATTTACTAACTTCAAGAATTATGGCACAAGATTTAAATACACTTTGCCATCGGAAATCTACTCGCTACATGAAAGTTCCATTGAAGTCAACTGAGCAAATTTATTTAATTTTTCTCATTCCAATATTGATCAACTGTTTTGTGTACATCATTCATTTTTCCGCCGACTTGGTTGTAGCCATACAACACTTTAAAGAAGATAACCCGATATGGGGAGGTTGCACAATTGCAATCATGTACGCTCCAATGTTTGTGTATTTCATATTGACAGTATCAAGACCAGATTGGTGGATGACAGATGATGATAAAATAACTAAAGGTGTTCTTGGCTGGTTTGCGCTACAAGTATCTCAGCTTGTAGGATTTGTCTTCTTTGTATTATACAGGTGTTCATTCTTTGCTAGAAGTTTATTATTACTTGATAAATGACCGTGTCTAGAAATCAGCACGTTTTTGCAGATACGCAGGACTGATTGTGCTATCCATAGATGCTATAAATTTATCCGGAAACGAGAGAATTAAGACGTTAAATATAGCTGCAGCACCTGCGGCCATTGAATTGTACTTCTTTCTGCAAGCATGGTTTCAAGCTGCTCCACAGGCTATTTTTCAAACACACCTGCTATTCAGACAGAGAACCGCGATACGCAGTTATCAGTCAGGTGTGCATAAAAATTCAATTCTTATTACACGAATAAACACACATAACATTAATAAAATATCTAACAAATATATGTGTATCTTTTTTGCAGTGGTAGTACAGATACTCTGCATCGTTATGTCTGTCATGATATTGGCCATCGAGACAGCTTCATTTCAAAGATTCGAAAGTCAACGTGTGAATGGTAGAAAATTGCCATGGGCAATGTGGCTGAAGAAATATTGCGTTGAGGTACGCCATTAAAAAAAACTGAAAGAAAATAATAAGATAAATAAAGTTTAATTTACTTAGTCGAGATAAGTTTATTCCATTGATTCAGATATTATCGATTTGATTTACCCAGGAATTCAACATTATTGAAGAAAAGGCGCCTCTGCAAACATTGCCTGCTTCGCAAGAAAGTAATCCGGATGCGTTACCTGAATCAAGACCGATGGAAAATGACCCACCGAATGAAACTCAGGAAATCGAACGGCAGCTTCAGGATCAACAGCACGCAGCTTCTCTAAACCGTCAGATCTCTGTAACTCCGCCACTGCCGCCGAAAAATGCCCATGTGACACCGCCACCGACGCCGTTGCGCGGTATCACAACGGTGACACCGCTTCCGGTACCGGACGCACCGCCACCACCGCGTCCAGATTCCGTTTATCGGGAAACGGAAACGGTGGAGGCGGCAAAGACGTCGGCAACTCTCCAATCGAGTCAAAGACTGATCGGCGGCAGCGGACAGAGTTTGCAAGTTCCTAAAAGAAAGTATTCCGAAAAAGGCCTCGAAGAAGACGACCCGATGGGTAAATTTCTGTCATTCCTCTGGTGGTTCTTCTTCATCCTGGCGCGCGTATTCGCCATCAGCGTGGCCTACGAATTCTACCCAGTGGCCGTACTGGCGGTAGTGGGTGTTCACTACGTCGCAATGCTGGCTTACCTGTTTTATTACTCGAAGTATTACGACGCGATCGCGTGTATCGTTAATCTCTGGCTCGGCTTGGTCTACGTGTTCAGTCTGATTGAATATCGCATCAAGTTCAAATACGCCGATTGGTGGACACTACCTTACTATGCGTGCGTTATCGCGCAGAACACGGCACTGACACTTGCGTGGTACGCGAACGCCGATTGGGACGGATTCTGGTACACATACATCTTCTACGCGATCTTCGTCTGCATGACGTTCTGCGTTCTATCGTCGGCGCTGTACTACGCGATGTTCAAGCCAAAGAAGTGCAGAGTATACAGCAGCTGACGATCGTGTGACGAAGCTTTATCGGCTTTCAGATAAGTTTGGAGAAACTCGTATGTACTTCCGCTTCCGCTTTCGATTACAAAATGTGAATAAACTACGCCAGATAAGACTTACGGATTATAAATAAAAAAACTTTTCAATAGTTTATTTACATCCAATATACTTCTTCCTGATAAAATTAGACTTTTCCTTTTGTGTTCAGATGTTTCAAATATACAATATTTCATGCAAAAAGAATATATATTATTATACAAATAATCTGTACTATAATTGACTGCGTTTTATGCTAAATATAGATCAGTATAAAAACGCTTAGACATAATTGGATTGCTGCAAGAAATTGTATTCTCATCGTCAACTTGAAAACGAACTTATGTACATCAAATCAATTTTTCTCTCAGACAAATAATTGTTTTTTTGTCGAGAAAAGATCGAACTTTTGCGTTCAAAAACACACTAGTTACTGGAAAAATTGTTTTACTAAACATACGAGTCCCAACACAAAACCGTGTGCCAAGAAATTATTTAACGATCTCTACAATCTTCTTGCATCAATCTGATAACATTTCAGGCAGCAGCTTTCGCTCTGTAGTATTTTACATCACGTGGGAACTATTTCACACAAAACAAAGTTACTGCAACTCGGTATTGCAACTCGGAGTGTTATTTTACTTCGAGAAGATGTGCAATCGCATTTGGACGATACGTTTTGATTCGATTTTCCGCTTCCGATGTCTCCGATTTGCAATGCCGAACGCAGATATTGTTACATATTTATATGTACAAAGAGAATCGCACAATGAAAAATGCATCTCGATAAGATTTTATACGCTCATACATCTCTTCGATATCAATCTTCATATCTGTTCTCCTTATTTCGTGACTATTAACAAAAATCTTCGTTTCTGTTGCGCAGCTATTTTGTTGTACAATTTGTCTTAGGAGATTTACAACGCACGCGTTACACGAAATTACGAAACAAATCAGCTGATGACATATATCTGCGAATTCCATTTCTCTATTTAAAAATTCGAAGATGAGGACCTACAGAGAAGAACCTGTTTGTAGATAGAGAGAAATATAAAGTATATTACTACGTATGAGCCGTTTTTTTGTTTTTTTTTTGTAATAAACTAGAATACACCAATTTATGTATTTATATGTACAAATTTGTGTATTGTTGAAAAACATTCATTCGTTCATTTACAAATAACGCAATCTTCCTTGTGTATGCGCATTATATAATCATTTGTAACTATGTATGTACATATGTATTATTGTGAACATTACGTTAGAAAACCTTACGACATTGGAAGTTTCACTATAAAGCATTCGGTCCCGTTGATGTAACAATCTTACTGAGACCGAGTGATCAAATTGCAACCAAGAGATCATGCGATTAGTTAAGAAACAGAAATCGACTCGAGAAATTTTATGTGAATCTTTTCACACGTTAATATTCGAGTCTCTGTGGAGATTGCAAAGCTGAGCCTCGAACATGATATCATTCACCAGTTTTTCGGCTATTATTCTTTGGTCGTTTCTCATGTTTCTGAGCTTAGCGGCAACATTACGACCGATTGCGTCATATTCGTCTTCCATCGTGAACGAGTTGCTGTGCGGCAGTCTCAGAGACAGATCTGCCGATTCCATTTCCTCGGATCGCCGCCGAATCATCGATCCGTCATTCCAGTCTGCGCTCTGGTTCTCGTAAAACTCTTCGGCGCCTGACGCACTCTCTTCCTGCGTAAATATTTAGTTGATTTAGTCTTTGACAATTATATGAGATACAGAAACAGAAAGAATTCTTACCAATTTATAACGTTTTTTGATTTGAGGTGTAAGATTCACGATGCGTTTTGACCGCGTTACCTCGTAGCACTTTTCAGGCATGGTCGAATCGACATACATTATAGCAGGCCTCCTTAGATTAGACTTGCACTTGATTTTCTCTACTAACAACGGATGCAGTCTCTACAAAAAATATAACTAAACTGAATGAACATTGATAATTTTTCATTTTTAAATAATTAATATACAATAGTAAAAAATATTAGGAAGTCTACTGAAAAAAATTAAGCACTGACTACAAGTAAGACTACAAAGAGGAATAAAGATAAAACCTTTATCTGTACTTTTTTACTATTTCGATTTTTTTGTATAAAAAATCTCTTTTTATATAAAAAATCTTTTATATAAAAAGTCTCTTGATTTAAGGTAATTAAACAGTATTACTTAATAAATAGTATTAGTACAACAAATTCTTCAATAGCTTAGATATAAAACAAATAATAATATATATTCAAGTATAAAAGATAATTATTTATTTCTCTTAAATAAAATCTACAAATATTATATAAACACAAAGTAATAATTTACTTTTATATGGCTAAGAAAGTTGCCAGTGGACTTAAGATTGCCATTCAGTAATTTATGGCACTGCAAACAGCGTACTGTGACATTAGTGTCCTCCATTCTGGTCACCACAAAGAACTCTCCATCAAGAATAGCTGGCAATCTGACTGGAGTCAAGGTTGTCTGTTGAACATTTGACTGAATTTGTGCTATGTGCTCTATCTGCTCTGTCTGATGCTGCTGCTGCTGCTGCTGTGATTGTTGTTGCTGCTGTTGCAGAATAGGTGCATCATGATTTTCCTGATTCTGCACTTGTTGCGTTGCTGTCTGATTATTGACCGATTGAGCAGAAACTATGGGTTCGTCATACGTTTCATATGTGGCCATGTTGTTCTTATAGCTTTGTTGAGAAAAACTGTCCATAGCAGCAAAATGCATGCAACTCTTGCTCCGGCAAGACAGTGGAAATAATTCTCCAGGACTGAGTACTTGAAGTAGATGTAAAAGAACATAAAGTTTTTTTTTTTTTTGAAAAGAAGAAACAAAGTCACATATTTCAGTATATTGTCTTTGATACTTATTGGATTTCAGATAAGCTGTCAGATAAGAATATCATGCCAGAAGATCAGATAATAGATGAGGACATGTATTAATGATTGAAAATAGCTTACCAACTTAATCATTCACACACACATACACACTGAAATACATATAGATTACTTTTATGTTCTTTTTCATCGACTAATGTATAAAATGCGCAAAAAATGACGGATATTTTTTATCTTCTCACATCTGAACAGAGTAATTTTTCCAATTCTTCAATATTTGCCACCTTTCGTGTAATAGTGGCAACACTGTGGTAAACAAGATAGTTTCATAAGAATTTAACTTTGAACGTATGTATATGTATAACAACATTTTTTTTGTTAAAGATCCACACGCACACGTAATAAACAAGAAACGTATATGAAATACTTACAATCGCATGATCTATCTACGCGTATAAAGCATTTCCAAAATATTCGTAAATATTCTCGGTTTTTTATTTCTATATACAATTTATATATACAAAATATACAAATTTTCGCGCACTGTCCGATAAACAACTTCCAATTTGATGCGATTACGAGACCGTTCAGGCTGATGTTTTGACGTACATGCAACGTGTAACATTTGTACCGCACGTTTAAAATTGAATAGGAGATCTTGATCGTTCTATTTGCATCTCTACTGAATAAATAAGTCACGTCGAAGCACAATATCGGAAATCTCACGTACATATAATAATATCACAAGTTAAACAACACTAAACCCTACTCTCGAATCAGAATATACAAACTATATACAAAGCATATGCGGAAGCAATCACATTAAATCTCGTTTGCAATGGTCGCAACATCAAAGTGTCAAGAATTCAACCAATCACAATTGTCGACTAAAGGAAAATTTTGCGACTATTGTAAAAACTCGACGATCGTTACCATTGCGCCAAAAAATAAAACGAGAAAGAAATCCAGACTGGAGCGTATTTTGCGCGTTTATATTTTGTGCGGATGAACTGGACAACTCGGTTAGGGTTAAATTAAGGTTAGGGTTTACATCCTGGTCGATTAGGTTCATAATCTAAGTCAGTTGGGATCACACTCTGACTGATTAAATTCACATCCTGACCTGAATTAGGTTCATTTCGTCAAAGGTCATTGAACTTTCGTCAGAGGTCATTGACCTTTCGTCAAAAAGAATAGTTAAAGAGTCGAGAATACATATCTCGGAACAGAACCAGGTTTAACCGACTGAAAAAGTTGGTGAACACGGACATCCGTACTTCTAATGTGCACCACCGAGCACGAGTGGCGCCCGAAAACGACATATGTGTAACACTTGGGGTTAATTTTCACCGATTGTAGATCGGAAGAATCGCATAATGAGTGCGCGCTTCGCGAAAGAAAGTTTATTGGTTTTTTTCTCTGACGACTGACAAGAAAATGCCCGTTGACATTAATCGATTAACAGAAGGCTGGCTGGAGCTGGAGAGCGATCCAGGTTTGTTGGAATCTTCAAAATAGTATCGTCTTATCTGTCAAATCATCTGTTAACCCCACACAAGGTGGTTTTCTTTTTCTCTTCTGTAGATATTTTCTAACCTAACCTAACCTAAAAATGATTACGTTTAAAAGTTTTGCGTCAAAAGTTTTACGATCGTCTTCGTAAATTTGATTTTTATTTCATCAATTTTCACGTATGTAATTTAGGTTTGTTCACGCTACTTTTGGAGGATTTCGGCGTGAAGGGCGTTCAGGTGGAAGAAATCTACGATCTTCAGAAATCTCTAGAAGGTCCGGTCTATGGATTTATCTTTCTATTTCGTTGGATCGAAGAGCGGCGATCTCGGCGGAAAATTGTGGAACAGGATGAGAGTTTCGTGAAGGATGAGGAAATTGTTAACAATATCTTCTTTGCACAGCAGGTTTGTAACAAGTTTTATATGTCAGATAATGTGTAATATGTGTATTTTGGTTGCGCAAATTTTTAAGCACTTATAACATACAACTACCGCAGGTCGTGCCCAATAGTTGTGCCACTCACGCACTGCTTTCTGTATTGCTAAATTGTCCAAACATCCATCTGGGAACGACTCTGTCTCGACTGAAGATGCACACCTCCGGCATGTGTCCAGAAAACAAAGGTTGGGCGATCGGCAACACACCAGAACTGGCCTGCGCTCACAATTCTCACGCTATGCCGCAAGCAAAGAGACGACAGGACAAGAACACGGGTGTTTCCACCGGCAGATTCACCGGCGAGGCGTTTCATTTTGTAAGTTACGTACCGATTAACGGGAGACTATTTGAATTGGATGGCCTGAAACCATATCCCATGGATCATGGACCTTGGGGAGAACACGAGGAATGGACAGAGCAATTCAGACGCGTTATAACCGATCGTTTGGGAATATCGACGGGCGAGCAGTTGCAGGACATCAGGTTCAATCTGATGGCTGTTGTGCCCGACAGACGTCTCGCTATATCGCACAAGTTAACAATGCTGAAGACCAATAGACAAATAGTTCTGGAAGCTTTGCAACAGCTGGTGAAACTCAAAAGTCATCAGGATGGCAGTAACATGGAGAAAAGCTCGCAGGATTCTGACAAGGATAAGCAGTATGAGAAAAGAAACAAGGAAGAGGAAAATGGATTGCCCGCTAAGACGGAAATTGAAGAATCTACGATTCCAACTATTAACGTTGAAAGAAGCAACGATCCATCTGCGGTTATCGATGAATCGGTATCCGGCATTGCTTCTGGAAAAACCGAACCTAGGTAGAAGTTACATTTTACGTTTTTGCTTTTCTAATAACAGACGACATACATTATTGTTTTAAAACTTCGTTAAGTTTTTTCGTTCTTACGATATAGTTTTATTTTTTTAATTAAAATAGAATGTTACATTTAATTTTTTAGCGGAATGGAAAAAGTGGTGATGTGCGCGCTCGACTACGCCACGCCGCTGCAGATACAAACTTCACCCGCTCACAGCTCATCGAGCACGGACACCTCGTCGGAAATCGGATCGGCCTTTAACTCCCCCACTCAAGGTAACACAAATAAGAAATACAAACTCGAAAACCGTGTTTTGTAATTCGCTCTTTACCGCGATGAGTCGCACAGTCGTTTGGTGGTGCACACTTTTTTATTCTGACAGAATATCAAAGTGTTCGGACACGTCATTCGAATTGACTTGATTTCATCTGATCCCGGCGCGTTGTAACAGATGTAGTAGTGAGAGTCTGAGGAGGGATCTTTTATCTTGCCGATTTCTTTGCACGTTTTTCTTTCTGATGATTCTTGTGTTTGCATTTTCTTCGTTGTGATTTCACGCTCAATTATCTCGTTCGTGGTTGGGTATTTGTTGATTCCGCACGTTTTCACGCTTTCAATGTCGCAAATTCGCAAGTTCGCGTTGAAGGCCGTATGCGGCGGACAAAAGTATTCTGACAGGGAAGCTGTTTTCGGATCGCACGTGTAATACTTGTTGCAATTCGTCTTGTTTGCCATACGCAAGTTCATCGTGCACATCACGACGCTGATGTGTCGTGGCTTCAATCGGTGCGATATTGTCTTGTAATCCTCGATCGTGAGATACTTTCTAGTTCCGATATCGTCGTCTATTCTTATGATGTTGTTGTCAACGTCCAGACTGTCGATCAACAGTTTCAACGTGTTCTCTGTCGAAACGGAGCTGGTTGTTGTCGCGATATTGTCTGTTTCGAGTTTGTTGTTGTCTTCCGTCTCGATTGGTTTGTCGCCTTGCGACTTATTATTATCATCGATGCTCTGTGCGGGATAATTCAGCGACAGATTCTGCTTCTGGTTGTGAGACGCAAATATGGTCACGGTTTGAGTCGGATTTATAATCGTAATATTTTTCACGGGAAACGTCAGAGAAGACGAGATCGCAGTTGACATTTCCTTGTAGACGTGCAGACGATTCATCAACTCGTTCAGCCATTTCTGATGAATGTCTATGATATTTTTATACTTTTGCATAAGTGACAGCGCCATTTGTTCTTGACTGTTCATGTAGTTGTATAAATAATTTTCTTCCTTGTGATACGACACATTCCTCACGTTTTCGTCACCGCGCGTTGTTCCTTCCGATTCCTCGAACTCGATCAAAGGAATCGCGGTAACCGCCTCGGTCGTCGGATCCGAGAAATCGTCGATCACGTAGGATGAGTCGATTGTTTCGGAGAGTCCCGAATTCTCCGTATATCCCGAATATTCATTTGCGTCATATTTCATCACGTTCTCCTCGGTTGCGAGTGTGTCGCACGTCCAGATATCGCCAGGAACCACGCACATTCGCAAGTACGGTTGGAACACCTGAGATCATACGGTAAAGTAGACGGTTGAATTAAGAATATTTTTAGAATTTTTCTTACAAGAGAGAGGATTTATCTCTTTTGTATATTTGTCTGTTCTTTTTTTTTTTTTTACGTCTCACCAAGCCTTTGTTACATCTCGATGGCACCCACACATAGCCGCCGCCCGGTAAATTTACGCAGCTGTAGAAAATCGTGCAGCTCGTGAGATGCGGTTTCTTCGATTCCGGACATGTCGACGAATTTGCCAGAAAGAACAAGTTGAAAAACGCGAAAAAGATCGATGCGAACCACATTTCGTGCCGCAGCAGACTGCGATTCTCACCAATTGCTTCATGAACATTTATGTACTTTTCGCACATTCATACGTGCACGTATTCGTGATACACGGTGATGACGTTCCATTTCGCACCTTTCGCGAAACAGTTATTTGACCCCCGCCTGTTACGCGTGTGGTCAGTCTCTCTTCCTTTTTTTTGTCTGTCAGTCTGTCTCTCTCTCTTTCTTTCTCTCTCTCTCTTTGATCTCGATCTCCGAGCGAACGGAATTTTCCAAAAGTTTGTTCACACGAAATGCGGAGTAAAGTCGATCATTTTTGAGATAGTTCGCGCAATCGCTACGGAGCCGCCAAAGAAGAGAAGATTTAGACAATGTCTTGGTGTCTCCTAGCTTGGGGTTGGAACTCCGGCCAAAACAGCCCTACGTCGACGAAGGACTTCAAGAAGTTCGTGGTGATCAGAGTTGCCGGTGACGAGAAGAACGAGACGGGTCTCAGTGGGTATTAGATTTACGTATTAAATTTGTGTATCGGATTTGTCGTTCACACGTGAATATCGAGACTGTTTTTCTCACGCACAGGTCGTTCTTTGGGAAATATCAACATAAACGGGAAGAGATTAGTTTCCGACAGTGGCCATTTGCACAAAAAGATTTGTTTATCGAGCGAAGTTAGAATTCCTCACGCAAGAGTGAAAACCAGCAACGGTGATACCGTGATTGAGGAGAAAAAAATCGAGAAGATCGACCCGAAGCAATGCTCCAAGTACCCGGAACTCTTCGAACCGCACACGTTCGGGCCTAAAGATCTTCTGGCGCTGCTGAAGAACCTGGAGCACGAGATCAGCGTATGCGAGACTAGTCTAAAGGATGAGAACGACAAGAGAAACAAATACAAGGTTGATCTTACTTGTTACAAAAAATTTATGAAATTTGTTTCTTTTGGAGAGTTTTTTTTATTAACTTATTTTCGTAACGTTAATTGTGTACGCGCACGTAAATGGCCTATCCGTTGAAATGGACACAAATCAATGGGAATCCATTAATATCTCCTGTGGTTGCAATCAATTGCGCGCATCGAGTTACGGAAATTTTGAAAAAAATGTTTCAGATTGACGATTGTCGGAGGACGCACAATTACGACGAGTTTATCTGTACGTTTCTCTCGATGCTCGCGCAACAGGGCAAACTCGCGGAGTTGGTTCAACAACATTTGAAAGCAACGTTAAAGAAGCACACGTCCGTCGCGGTGAACAGAGTTCACAGGTGCACGTTTAAATCGATCTTTCCTAGAATATCGGAATTATTTTTTTTAAATCAAAAATTTGCTCGAATATATTCAATATAATCGTTAAAAGTTCGGGATCTATTTTTATTTTTTCAGGTCATCAAAGAAGTCCGACACTCGTCAGAATTCCTCCCGCAGACGGCGCGGAAGAACAAAATGTAAAAAACGAAAGTAATCCTCAGACGCGTAAGTTTTAAAGCAATGTGTCTCACTCAAGGCACAAAAATAAACTTATTTAGCAATTTGCAAATATTATCACGCGAAGAAAAATCGACATACGCGTACAACACGCATATGGTTTCCATATAAATAAAAAAAGAAATAGCATTACTGTTTCCATTTGGATCAACACTTCATAGTTTTAGCTTGTCAACGTCTTGCGGCTAGTTTTACATACATAGAAAGCAATCGTATAAAGATACTTTGACTTGTACAATTAAATGATGAAAACTTTATGTCTGACAATGTACAAATTAACTTAAAAATTGTATACATATATTTTTTTATATTCTTTGTATAATCACGAGATATATTTATGTGTCCATATTTAATGTTTATCTCGGTTGCTTCATTCACTAGAATTGTCTCTTCTTTTGATCTTATATTTCGTACGAAATATACGTATGACTTATCTCGCAGAGCGCGATGATTTGTGTTCCTTTCTCCTGTGATCGCTTGTGAATTTGAGAGAGAAGGTGTGGCGGAGGGAAGAAAATACAAGCCAGTTTTGTTTTTTTTTTGTCTCAAAAACATTGAAAATATTTATTTTATAGCGGTATTCATATACAAGTACACTACACGTGCAGTTGGATATGTTTCTTAGAATCTAAATACTTACATCTCCGGACAGCCGGAGAAAGGAGAACCGAGCTTTATTATTTATTAGATTGATTTACGAAATTTACGGCTTTTATCTTGCAAACGGATTTTTGTTTGTTTGTTTTTTTTTTTTTTTATCAATCCTAGCCTGAGTCGTTTCGCCGTTTTACAGTACAATAATGATGCATAGGAACTGTAGAACTCGGAGTGACAACGATTTTGCGGGATGCAATGGGAGGTAGGAATAAAGAGACAGGGAGATAGACAAGTGTCGTTCTTTCTCCGGCCAGCGGTTATCCGGCGGTCCTGTTTTTTTCTGTTTTTTGGCAAAAAGGTGCGATATATCGTATTTACAATTTTCTTTTTTTTTCTTTTTTTTTTCTTTTTTATAAACGCGTATCGGCTCTCGCGATCGTCGCGCGTGATCGTTCGAGGCGAGCGAGGCAAAAGTGCGCGAGTAATCGATGTAGATTTGTGTGTACGTGTGTGTGTGTGTGTGTATGTGTGTGTATGTCAAGAATTAAATTCGAAATCATGTCGAGATCGTCGTCGACACGTCAATCGACAATAGAAGATACGATGTATTTTATCATACACAGTTACATCTTCATTTTCTTCTCGCGATTTGATCACTGGCAACTTTCGGCGAGAAGCTCGGCACAATTCCGTTTACAGGCACTCTCGGTTATTCTACAGCGACGCGACTGCGATTTGTTCGCGAAAACTTTCTCCTCGCGAGTTTGAAATTTAGCGACGATTATTGCTGAAGTCCACGAGACTTGAAAAACGAAAAGACAAAATCGATTACGAGCGAAACATATTCACGCTAAAAAAAAAAAAAAGTAAAAAGCAAAAGTGAAAAACAGAACAAGAAAGGCGAGAGATAATACGGACGAGATCGTTTTCGTCACTATGCGACGACGTGCGGAGCGCGCAACAATATTCTCGGGAGGATTCGAAAATCGCCTCGTCGTTTTCAATCGTCGTGATCGATTCCACGAGGCGATTTGGTACGCAATTTAAAAACACCTGTGTCGCATCACCGCGGTCGCTCGCTCTACGTATCACATGTGGCAGGATCGAACGATCAACCGATTGGTCAAGACAGCAATAATAATCAACGAATTTGTCTCATATCTTTTTCTTTCTCGCGATTACTCGTTACTTTTTGTTTCTCATCGTCGTCAGATCGACGATGTATCTTGTCCGTCAAATAAACAAAGAAAAAAAGATCACACTTTGGTTCTGGTTTGCCGTAAAGCGATAACGCGCTATTTCTCGCTTTGATGAGTCTCATTCTCGAGTATCGTCTTCTTTGATGATCAAAAGTACTGTACACGTCTTATTACACCTCGTCTCAGTGATATCGAAAAATACATTAATTTGAAATATATATATGTGTATGCATGTGAATTTGTGTATGTGTATGTGTGTATGTCATGTGTATTTAGTGTTTATATATTTATATATATATATGTCGCAAAGTATAATATATATATATACGCTATATATATATATATATATTACATATATCTATAGGCTCGCTTAATACTTCAATACTCGCTAAATTCTTGTCTTCCGAGAAAAAAAAATTGTGTTTCTTTGTAGCCAATAAACACACGTCCCGTTCACACACATACCAAGCTCGTTAATTAGCATTTCTCGTCCGGCGTATTTGTATAACACAGATTCGTTTTTTTCTTTTTTTTTCTTTTTTTTCATTAAAACATATACATATGTACAAATACAAGAGCGCTGAGTAGAGAACTCGTTTTAACTCGATTTGATAGCAAAAGTACAAAAAAAAGGAAAACAACAGAAGTCGCGTGAGAGAAACGGACGTCGACGACGAAGATTCGGCGCGAGTGTCGAGGGAGAAGCGCGCTCAGCGATCCGAGAGACGGAGGAAGCCGATCCGGAGCCTTCATTGTGAGAAGCAATAAATAAGAAGCGAATTTTTTGGAATGGAGCACCAATAAACCGAATTTCAAAGCGAGATGACGTGAGTGTTGTTCGCTTGCGATAAATGATTTTTTCAAGATTCAATCGTACGAACGTGTACAAAGATCGACATTGAGAATCGACATCGAGAGTCTCTCGGTCTTTTTGGTGAAAATAAATAAAAGGCTCCAGATCGGCGTGGTTCACGTCGCACACGCTGCTTCGCGTGATTGCCACAAAGAAAATGAAAAACAAAAAACAAAAAAAAATGACGACGATGACGAACAGTGACGAAGAAAGGAGAATCCCCTGCTACACAGGCGTAAAGGTTGCAAATATCGTGAATATTTGATGGTAGTGAGATAGCCGGTTGCGCGACCAGTTATCAATCCGTGAATAACTCGCGGCTTACATAACAATTAAACGCTCGATAACGTTCGACTCGTCGCGATACGACCGCCCGAATCGACCGAACTCTCCTAGTTAACGATATTACGGTAATTAATAGAAAGAACAATTATAGTCTAAATTTCCTTACGAGCGTAGTAACTTACAACACTACGGATATCACTTATTAACGCATTGGCTCTTAACTCTCTGCTATCTTTACACGTCGCTTCGGGACTGAAAAGGAGCGGAAAAAAATGCCCTTCAACTCTTCGATCGGTAGTTACTTTGTTTTTTTTATGTTCGAAACAAATTCCGATAAGTGTTCATATTGTTTTTTTTTTTTTTTTTTCACGTTACTTTGCTGTACGCAATAAATTAGAAGTTTTGTTTTTCAACACGGAGAAAAAGATTGTTCACGGATCTACAGATCGAAGGATCAAAGTTTCGCAGGCGAGAGACGCGTAGCGCGAGACGAGTACGTCCTTTCGTGTACATCCTTCGGTCATCGTCGGCTTCAGAACAACTTGTACCGATACGATAGAGCAGATCGGTAGCGCGGTTGAAAATCTCGGCGAAGTTGCAATGATTCGAAATATTTAATAAAATTTTACACCCAATTACAATTGACTGAACTCTCCTAATCAATGTCATAAAGATATGTTAAATTATATACACATATATTATATTAAAATATAAATTAATTATATATATATTTTGTGTGTATATGAACTCTATATATATAATCTGATGTACATACAATCAAATCCTAAAACAAGTTTTTTCGAAGTATAATAAACACGATCAAGATTTAATCTAAACTTCACGTACTTCTAATATGGCTACGTTTAATATTTGAGATATCTCTGAAGATGTGGCGACAACCACCTATCTGCTCGTATCGCATCCGAAACGAAAAGCTCTTCCTCTTTAAATAACTAACGCAATTCTTTCAACAAAATTCCTCGCAAGTGATTTCAAACGCGACACGCTATCAAGCTCCCCTCGCGTTCTCAAGACAACAACAACAACAATGACGACGTCCCGACGACACATCTTCACGTTCTGTTTCCAAGAATTCCGGCGTCAAGCCAAGGAAGAATCGCAGCGTCCTTCACGGTCCGCTGGCAGTCGCGACAGAGCATCCCGTCACCAGACTGTCCGCTGTCGCAGCGGCGACTGCCGGTTGCGCGCGTAACATCGACTCGCGCAGATACGCAACCTCGGATGCCAAACGGTCCAGTTTCAGCTTCATATCGCGACCGCTCTCCGCTATTGTCGGAACCGACGGCCCGGTCCACTCGACGCCCAACGAAATACCGGAATCGCGCTCGTCGCTGGAACCCTCTCCGTTGTCCCAGGGCGGCGACGCTCTCGGTCCGGGCTCCTGTTTGATACCCTGAAGCGCGAGCAACGCGCTCGCCGCGTCTTTGTCGCCGATGCGCGACTTGTGCCTGAGCTTGTGCGGCAGACTGTTGTTCGAAGCCGCGTTGTTCTGGGAGGTGACGACTATCTGCGAACCGGCCTCGTCGCCGCTGCCGGACGACAGCTCGAATGGCGACTGGGCGCGGCGTGCGCGCGACGACAAATTGAGCGCGCTCGTCGTGTCGAGATGATGCATCGCCGGATGATGCGAGTACGGATATTGGAAGCTCTCGGTCTCCGGATATGTAGAGGCGGTGGTCTCGGGTACGTAGAGCTGCGAGGCCGGTGAGCGCGGCGACCGCGCGCCGTTCACCGGCTGGTGTATCACCGAAGTATGCACCGGACTCGGCGTGCGCGCGTACAGAAGCGCGGACGCCGGCAGTTTGGCACGCTTCACGATCGGCTCGGTCGGCATTGCCGCTAGCACGTGCTCCGTGTTGATGATCGTCTCCCCGCAAATGCCGAATTTGTCGCGTATCGCGTCCAGTTGCGCCTTGAGTATGTGATTCTCCTTGCTGAGCTCCATCACGCGCTGCTCGAGCACCATGTCGTTGAAACGACGCTTCTCGCGCGATCGCTTGGCCGCCTCGTTGTTGCGCCGACGACGATCCCAGTAACTATCGTCCTTCTTGTTATCGGGGATGAATTCGCGCTGCTTGCGCTGCGAGAACAACTCCTTGCGAATCTCGAAGTTGGGCTGCAGGTTGTCCGGATGCGTTGTCACCTGCGGTCCGTCGTGATGGTGATGCTGCTGCTGTTGTTGTTGCTGTTGCTGCTGCTGCTGTTGCTGCTGCTGCTGCTGCTGCGCCTGATGGTGATGATGATGGTGCGGCGGCTGCTGAGGCGGCGGCGGTTGTTGCTGCTGCTGCTGCGCCTGGTGCTGATGCTGCTGCTGAATCACAGCCGGCGGTCCACCGTGATGACCGGGATGGGTGAGGGGCACCGTGAGGGGTTTGTGAACGTCGTGAGGTCCGCTATGAGGCGCACCGTGTGCGCCACCGTGCGTCATTGTGTGCGTAGCCGGTACACTGCCGTTCAGACACGCGGTCTCACCATTGATGGGCGATCCACTCTGGCGATGGACGACGAACTCTGCCACCATACTTTGTCTTCTTAATACATCTGAAACAAAGCAAAAATGGGGACACACATTAGTTGGTCATCAAGTCGAACGCTCGGGTTAATTGACGAAGAGCGAGCAATTTTATCTCTTATGCGAGTGTCGCAATAATGAAGTAGAGTAACGGAGCGATTTGATGTTAAAAAAAAAGTCAAATACTGAATAATCTTTCTCAATAATCTTTCTCGTAAATTACTTAAGAGACAATTGGAAAATTACTTTTTTTTGGCAAACTTGTCGTTTCACGAGAACTCGTTGCGCGCGATCGGATAGTTTTTACAAGCGCATTTTTTTTAATTTACGACGGGGAAAACTCCGATTTATATGCTTCATCCGTATTTTTTGTCGATCGTGAAATCGTAATCATCGGTACAAGTACGGGTTCTAAATTACTCTCTCGCGACGGAATAAGCCGAAGATAAAGAATTCTCAGACGTGCTCGCACTGCCAAACGAACGTTTCTCTCTCCGAAGTTGCAAAATAGCCTTGAGTAAGGTCGCGGCTCGTCAAGGTTAAAAGTGTCAATGAACTTAGCGAAGGTGCCTTTCTATTAAAAAAAAAAAAAAAAAAAAATCCGTAGTTTTGCCAATTTTTACTCGACACAACGAAATTTCATTAGTTTTAAACCTCTTCGTCACCCCGTTATTTGTCAAAGAAGAACGCGAAAAAATATAAGCTCATAGAAGTGACGAGGATCGATCAATGGGACCAATCAAGCGACTCTCGGATTTTTATTGACGACGATAAACATGACGTAAGATCGTAATAATTGAAGACCCTGTCGTGTTGGCGATTATTGATCTGCGATTAAGTGCCTCGCCGGATGCGAGCAAACGCCGTTTCCGCGGAGAGAGAGAGAGAGTGTTTAATTTTAACTCACGATCGAGGATGAAAATACCTTCGCGCGCGCGTCGCGCTTCGCCTTCGCGTGTTACGTATGTAAAAGCTTTAATCCGAGCGCACACGCGGCGGTTACGCAAACGCGCACGTGCGTTCGCCGCGCCGTTCCACGTGTTCCGGATCGTCTCGGAGAAAAAGACAGATAGATAGAAAGAGAGAGAGAAAGAGAGGATGAAGAAGAGACTTGTGTTAAACTTGGGATGTGACTATACGTAAATATATAAATTACACTTCCTTAAAGATGCACGTGCGAGCGAGATATCTCCTCTTTTTTTCTTCTTCTTCTTTCAAATCATCGGAAAATCACACTTGAGGAAATAAGATAATCGGGGTCACATCCGTCCATGCGTGGCCTACATAAGAAATCCGCTTCTAGAAAACGCGATAAGAGAGACCGTTACATAAATCGACGCGATCATTTTACACACGCGGGAATATTTTAACAACAACGCGCCGTGTCAATCGCGTTGCTTTATCGGCGCTTTATACCGCCCGCGATAATCTCGCGCGGACTCTATTTCGTAAAAGTTGCACGTTTCGTGACGACTAACGTGGCGCCCATAAATCGCTCGCGTGTATCAATTCTCCCCTTCTCCCTCTCTCTCTCTCTCTCTTTCTAAATTGCTTCTAACGAGAGATATGAACCGCGCGGAAATAAATATTTTCACGCAGTAAAAGATATCTCCGATATAAAATTTAGACTTTAGACTCTAGTTGTGTTCTATCAATTTTTTCTTTTTAATATCGCTGTGTTGCTTCCGCACTCTGTTTTTTTTTTTTCGCTGCTCGATCTGCGTTACCCGTTTTTCGCGAAAATATTTCGGAAATTTTATTCACAAACATTGCTTTTTGTTTTACATCACGTATTTTTTGTGTACTTAGATTGTTTTGCTTTGACGTTACACATCGGAATGGACACACAACAGCGTGAGAAATGAATTGTCAGCGAGGCGGCATCCGTATTATGCAATCATCGATAACCTTTAACTCACGAGTAATAGAACAGGATAAGGAAGAGACGTTCATTACGTAAGCCGCATAAGTGGCGCGTATATTTTCGAACACGTGTGTCCGTACGTCGATGATGAAGTTCGTTGTCCGTTCTTCGTCGCGCGCCCGCGCGCGCATCTGTCGGATATTACACGTCGTGCGTGAATTTTGTTCGAATCACGTGCTCGACGGACGCGCTTCGAAACGTGCTTCGACGACCTCGTCGTCGTCGTCGTCGTCGTCGTCGTCGTCGACGTCGTCGCGCGAGATTAGCTTCAGAGGCTTCGGTTGCCGTCCCTTCTTTATTTATCAGGTAATCGCGAAATGCGCGAGAGAGCTCATTCTTGCGTCTGCGTACCACGCGCACGTGTTTTGTTATTGCTTGAGAGAGCGGTAAAACTAATCGAGAGAACACGCGGTGTCGAGTTCTCTCCTCGCGAGAAGTACTGCGAATCGTGCGCGTCGAAATGTCATCGTTGCGAAAAGCCGAAAAATAAGACTTTCGAGAAGAGGAGATTACCCCGAGAAGAAGAAGTTGGCGGGAGATACAACACATACGTGAGATCTCAAGGATTCTAATATGGAAATTGAACGACTCACGCCGCGTGACACACCGCAACGTGCTCGTTATTTAATCCGATGTTGCGTAACCTACACCCATGTCACATTTGTTTTTCAGAAGTTTCGAGAATGAATCATTAATTCCACGTCAGTTCGATTGAACGATCCGTTTTATTGAGATACGCGGAAGATTTGAACAGCGCTAACGTAAGACGCACAAAAGCGCGTGACGAAAATAAAATTATAATTAAAAAAGATTATAATAAAATTTAAACAAAATAAAAGAGTGCACGAAAAGTATAAAAATACAAAAATAAAAAGTACCCACAATCGAGTGTGAAACGATCTCGTCGATTTGTAAGTTCTTGGCATTGCTGCTCGCAATGGCCAGTACTAGGCTCGTGGGATCTCGTCGATGAACGACGCCGAGTTAGAAAGACGCAAAAGTGTTGACGCATTATCGCTCGACCGGTTTTTGAAAGTCGGTTTGTTTGTCCCGGATATATGTATATCGAGTGTACATGTATATTTTAAAATGTACGTATATATGTAGAATAAAAACGAACGACACGGGCGACGAATTAACAAGACGCACGCCGAAATTGAGCAATCTCTTGAAATTTCAGTCGTCCAATTACGTATGACAGTTTCGCGTGACTCACATTATCGAGTGCCGATTTTGTTTTTTTCGCGTCGCACGGAAGCCGCCCACATGCGAATCGAATACGAGGAAAAACTTGAACTCGTCTTGACACCCCGCTCATGACACACACGTAATCATTTGCTTACTTAATGATAATTAAGGCCAAACTCCGAAAAAAATCGTAAACGTGGAATTATTTTGATTGTATAAAATGTAAAAACAAAACGTCGAGGGAAAAAAAAAACATCGTCCACGAGTTTTTACAAAGAGATAAAAGTAACACGTACGTACGTAGCTAAAAATATTTCTCATTATATGCGTGTGGTGAATATATACGATTCGCTCGCTGATATCGTAATTTTGTGTAACTCCCCGTGGACGCGATCCAACGTGACTTCCGCCCACGGGAGAGAAATTAGCCTTTACTCGCTTCTGCGTATCACGGGATGAGCGCGAAATTATTTTCGGTAACTTCGTGAATCCTCTCTTTTAAATCGAACGCAGTTTATTCGGAAAATTGTCGATTTTGCGCTACGCAATAGGCTCGAATTTTTGCACGAACGCGCTGCGCCATTATTTTATATTTGCATTTGGCGACTTAATTACGAGCGTAAACAACTTTGTTGTGTTTCCGTTGACGTCGACAGTTACCATAATTTCTAAATACGCAATATAATTCCACGCGCGAATCGCGTAAACAAGTCGATCGTGCTCGCGGCAACGCTCGCCGCGTCGTCATATATAACGCGTACGGAAACGTCGTGTGACGCGGAGAGATCTACGTGTTAACGCGCGTGGGGAAATCACATTCCCGTTCCTTCCGCTACGACGGTGTCCGGCGAACGATTCGCGAATTCGCGATGGAGAGGAGCCCGGAAATTTTCCCCGCTCTCTTCAAGATACTCCTCTCCCCCCTCTCTCTCTTTCTCTTTCCCTCTCTCTCATAATTTGTATTCAACGATCGCGCCGTCTTATTGCGTGATTATTACATCATACACGTCACTCCGCGCCAGCGGAAATGTCTGCAATCGACAGATAAAAACACAAAACGGACGACATAAATATACTAGTTATCTCCTATCTGAGAAAAAAAAACTTTCCTTCTTATAAAAAATACTTTTGACGTCTTTTTTTATTTTTATTAAATATGCGCGTTTGCTAATAAAAAAAAAAAAAAAAGATGATAAACGCGCAAATATTATTATTCCGTCGTAAATCCGTCAATTTTATTATTTTCTCGCACACACAACGATCGCGCGATCGCATATAAACTTCGCGATATATCAGGAAAAACTTGTGCATACGAAAAATACGCGTTTATGCAAATGCGCAAAGAATAGGAAAAAAAATGCGTACTTGAAAAAAAAACCCATGTTCAAAAATCACTTTTAAAATAAAATGACAGTGACTTGAATGAGCAACGTCATTGTGACGTCATTTAATTAATAAAGATACGTTTTTTGTGAAAATAAATGCCTATTTAATTCTCAACCGTGCTTAAATTATAAAAGAGTACAAGTGAAAAAAAAAACATTACGCAATCTCGATTGAGCGCGCGACCACGAATTTATTTCGCGCTAATAAACGCTGTTTGAATTTTTTCGTCTGATTTCAATCTTGTTTCTGCGTCTCTCAAGGCAATAGAAGACATAAAATAGATGCGTGATACACGCACGTAGCGAGAAACGATTTCACAAAATGACTTCGAGCGAATTTTCATACTGTTGTACACGTCAGAGGCGTCAGCGGGAACAACAAATCGCAAGACTGAATCACGAAGTACATCGGGAGGTACACGTTTTTCCGCGATCTCGTCGTTTCACCGAATCATTGCGTGTACCGGCCACGTGTGTACACAGTCGATTACACCCACGAAGATTTTGTGCCGAAACGTCACGATCTGATTGC